GGTGCCTACGTCATGTTAGCTACGTCCTGTTGGCTACGTCCTGTTGGCTACGTCCTGTTAGCTACGTCTTGTTGGCTACGTCCTGTTAGCTACGTCCTGTTAACTACGTCCAGTTGGCTACGTCCTCTTGGCTACTTCCTGTTAGCTACATCCTACTGGCTATGTCCTGTTAGCTACGTCCTGTTGGGTAAATTTCAGTTTATTTTTTGAGACTATTATTTACTTTTAGTTTTTGGCTACATCTCATCCTTAAACACCTGTTGCTAAATGATAGCATCTTTAGCTTCTTTACGGTTTATCTACCTATGACTCGGCCACTTTTTTTGTCTTATTTGCTCTGTTACTTTTGTAACATTTGAGTCACGCTCTTGACGTTTTCCCCCCCCCCCCCCCCCCCCCCCCCCCCCCCCCCCCCTCCCCCCCAGCCTCTGTTCGAACCCTTATCCAAACAGCTGCAGTCTGTGATAATTCCAGCAGTGAAGGAGCCACTCGGTGGCCAACAATAGCCCCGACTCTGACGGCAGCTGCCTCTGCACTTGACTGATTACTGTTTGTCTTCTGCGCTCTGACAGTGAATGCACCGCTGCCTGCAGTTTGATGGAGATTTATTCTAAATTTATGAAGAATAAAAAAATAAAAACCTAACGAGAGGCACAGGCGCTCAGACAGAGATCGGACCAGACAGGAACCGATACTTCCACAAACAGAAGTTCACCTTTTTAAAAACACGATCCCACTCATAATAATAAAAGGGAGAAGAGAGAAACCAGACGGCAGACTCAACTCTCCTGATGGAGGCAGTTAAGAATAAAACATAAACCCATTTACTGAGGACTGGGTTTTTTTTTTGTTTGTTTGGTTTTTTTTTTTTTTGCTTTTGGCCTGAAGGAAAATAATTTTGCAGAAATAAACAAGACGCAGAAATGTGTCAGGTTTCAGCCAAATGTCTCTGTTACAGGGGTCGAAGTAGGCCAAGTGTGTGTGGGCCACATGTGGTTTAGGCTGCAACTGTTTATACACTGGACCCAAAGACTAGGAGATGAGTTAATTCAGGGTCACAGACTGATGTCAGAACCAGTGAGAACTGTTTAATCAGTTCCAGCAGAGGATTCTAAAGTACATAGAGACCTGACGTCTGGGTTTAATAGTAGATCGCAATAGATTATAGCGCCACCTACTGTACTAGAGTGTGTAGTGTCATGGTATGACCAGTGACTTTCTTTTATTTTTTTATTTTTTTTATCGATTTTTAACTGATTAATGATCCGATTGATACATCACTTTAGATCTCAATACCATTCCTTAATTTCTAAAATCTGTCACCTCGTGATTCCTGATACCTACTATTATTATTGTCACACTTACCAAAAAAAAAAAAAATCACAATTGGCCAAATCAGTTAAATGGATGTATTTCTAGTTCTAAAGAAGGAACACAGACAGGTTACACAAGCGCAGCAGCACCAGTAGGACGAGGGAGGAAATGAAATCAGACGGATGACATCACTTGACTGGTCCCCTCGGTGATGAGTGCAGACTCGGTACAACGGTCTCTGAAGATGTTCGCCGCCACGGCTCCTCGGCGGACGGAGGCCGAGACAGGAGGAGACAAACACAATTCGTGGTGACACTTAATCATTTCTGTTAATCTGCGCGTCACGGGCGGCTGATCAGAGTCTCAGAGTTATGAGGGGATTCATTTGGACACGTGCAGAGACAAAGGCTGCGGGATGAATATGAATGGAGTGGTATAAAGAGAAGGGATATTAGGAAAACTGTCCATCTGGTCTCACACTCTCTTTGTCTCTGTCTTCCAGGTTGGGTGGAGATGGAGACGTATTATTAACATTCATTAAATGTATTGTGTCTGTGTGTTTATTTATATCTGTGTCCGATGCGGCGTGCGTCAGTTCGCAGATCTGATCCACAGGGAAAGAAAAAAAAAACATGCTTTTGGAAGTGATTTGAAATGTTTACTTTTTTTTCTGTTTTAGTCTGAATACATTTCCAGCAAATATAACTGTGATGCAGCCTCTGTGCCTTAATGTGTCTTAAAGCCAAAGTGATGTTTTGTGGCCTGTTTGTTTTGTAGGAATATTGAAAAGAATGTTCTAAATAAAGAGATTCACAAAAAACACACTGTGTTTCTGCCTGTTGATTTGAACTTTATCCATTATCCATCTATTCCAACAACAGGACTATCTACAGTTCATGGGAAGAGATTCACAAAAAACACACTGTGTTCCTGCCTGTTGATTTGAACTTTATCTAAAGGAAATCTCCTTTCCAACAACAGGACCATCTACACTTCATGGTTTTGTTGAGTGGAAGGTCAGTGGTTGGACGACATCTTCCATTTGTCCTGTACAGCAGGACATGAAAAGAAAAAGACAGGTTTGAAAACACAACTTCTAATCACATAAACATAATCTGTTCTTAAGAGTCGTTCAAGCCAGCAGCCACGTTAGAAAAGGCACACGGCAAAAAATCTGTGCAAAAAATTTTTTTTAATACAGATAATTCACTGAGGGATCCCCCCTGAAGATGAAATCTGTCTTTCATTTGTGCTGCGGTTGATGACTCAGTCTCTGCTGCGTCGCTCCATCATCTTCATCATCTCTGCTGGTTCCCGGTAGAGGAGGAGGTGGTGGAGGAACAGTTTTATCATCTCACCTCTTAATTACATCTAGAGGCAGCTTTATGTTTCATTCAAACGTGTCCTGGCCATTTAACAGTTCCACCAACAGGTTGTCCCTGCACAAAGGTAAAAATTAGGTAGTGGTGAATCAGTTGGTTTATTTATTTATTTATTTATTTTTTTTTAAGAAGTAATATGTTATAATTTATATACAAAGATTACTTAATTAAAATGATTTAATAAGTTAAAAGAGCTGAAGACAACTGTAACACAGACCTTAATAATCATTCAGATCACATAGCGATTAAAAATTAATTAATAAAATACATTTAATTTCCACATCTTTTATTTTTCTTTTTACTCAAATCTACGGTCCAGTCATAACAATATTCCACTCAGAAAGTTCCAACTCCTGACCTTCAGTGCCCTTAAATAACCCAGATTTATAACAACATCCGGAAACGTCACTTCCGCTTCATTCCTGTCAAACATGGCGCTCCTGCTAAGGTCAGTACACCGCTGCTACACGTCGTTTAGCCTGTTTTAAACAACATGTCGCTGTCCTGTAAGCTGTACATCTTAACGACGGTTTAGAACAATAAGACAATACGTGAATTATTTCATTGTTGCACTTTTCGTATTCCAAACAAGTCCGCGGCGGCGGAAAGCTAACTGACATTAGCCTTCGAAGCTAACAGCTAGTTAGTGTGGTTAAAAAGGAAAAGTAACGGCATGTGAACTTAGTCTTTGGTTATCACTAATGACAAAGTCAAGCGAAAAATATATTATTATTTTTCCACGTGTGGTAAACGACGTTTTGTTTTTTTTGGCTTTGGTTTAGAGTGGAGTTCGCTGTTAACTCGTGTTGCTGCACTTGTTTGAGTAAAAGCTCATTGTCATAATGTATCATTATTACATTAATTATTACACATCTTTTAATTAATTGCTCAATAATAAAATTTAAAAAAAGTATGTAGCTGTCATTACTTTGAAAACAGAACGGGGATTAGTTTTACCTGATGATTTTAAAATCCTAAGAGCTTAAATGGATTTTAATGATTAATTAATTTATTCAGGGGTCTGTGTTGCTGGGCAGTTGAATGAGGATCATGGTGATTTAATATCCATGCTTTAGTAACGTGATTTAGCTTTATATAATAATGTCAGCATTGGATTTTTATTTTAATTTATAATTGTTTAAGTACTGTACTGTATTATTACATATGTTGAATATGAGGTTTTTTGCCTAATGTTTTTACTGTTTAGATTTAGTATCTTTAGTAAGTCAATATAATACTTCTGTCGACATGTTTTTTTTTAATGATGCATTTGACTGTTTACATAAATGAATAGATTTTTTTTTTTTTTTTTTTACTCTAGGACGTTTGCCCGTCAGGGTGTCTGTGTCTCCAGATCACAGTACACAGTCTTCTACAGACAGTAAGTCGTTTGTGTTTTGACTTTTAGCACATTTGTAGCTAATTCTGACTAATTTTGCAATTTTTTTTTTTGTATTCTAGGCTAAGTTAGTTGTATTTTAGCTAACTCTTAGCTAGTTTTTAATTAAAGTGACCCCCCCCCTCCCCTCTCCACAGTGCTGCTCCAATGGGAACCACAGCCAAGGAGGAGATGAACAAGTTCTGGGCCAAAAACGCCCAGTTGAACCGACCCATGTCCCCACACATCACCATCTACAAGTACGTAGCACACGAACAAACTTCAACTTCTTGTTGTTCACACAAAACAACCCGGAGTGAAACCACACCTTCAAACGACATATGCTCCGTTTATGTTTGACAATTTCAGCTTCATATTGGCAGAGACAATAAAATGTCCCGCAGCATCATTTCCAAAGTTGGAAACGATGCTGCTCTTCAGATGCTGCAGTCTTTTAACGCTTATAAAACAGCAGGAGCAGCCACCATTACCGGGGAGTTTTATGCCTGTGGATGCATGTGGTGTAATAAGTACCCTGATGTACTGTGGGGCAGTTATTAGAACAGTAACAGCCCGACTGAAGGAGTTATGTCTACCTCTGCAATTTCTCCGCAGATTTCCCTCCAGGCTAATTTATTTTCACTTATCGTTTCTCTGTCGTCTGGGATCCTTTAATCGTTCTCCTGCACTCGTCTTTATCAGGAGGTTCCTCCGAGTCAGCTGTCATTTACTGTGGATTTGTCATTTTTAAGTATCTCGCCTGTGTAAGTTATAGATTTAAAAAAAAAAAAAAAAGATTTTTCTCTGCAGAAGGTCACCTCTTTGTTGTTGTTGTTTCATCCTTTTGTCATGGATTCCTCTGCTCCACTGATCGGATTTTTATTTTTATTTTTTTATTTTTATTGAACCCTCAAAAACGAAGCGTGTTCAAATCAAACCTGTTCAAATGACTGAAGCTCATCAACAGGTTTGGATCAAGAACCGTATAAAAACATTTAAAGGAAATGGATTTACATCCATAGACCTGGTGTCAAAGGTCCTCCCCCAGAATTCTCTGAAGAGTTCAGGTTTTTTTTTTTTTTTTTTTTACTTTTCCTTGAACCTTCAAACTGACTCTTGAATTGTCGTCATTTTTTTTTTTTCAGATGGTCTGTCCCCATGATGATGTCCATCACACACAGAGGAACTGGAGTGGGCCTCAGTGGAGGTAACACCCTCACCCCCCCTCACCCCCCCAATCCTCCCCCCTGTCAATGTCATCAGTGAATGTTCCCTCTGTCGCCCCCTTGTCATTCATGTGCTCCTTTAAATCCCTGCGTGCTGCACGTCCAACCTCTGTGTTTGTGTTTGATATTTGTTGACGCTCGTCTTTCGACCTGACTGTCCCTGAACGCCTCCTCAGACTAACATTTTTTTAAACCTCAGTCGGTTCGTACAATTCCAGTGTTTACATGAGACGCTGAAGCCCAGTGCTGGGCCGCTCACCCTAGTTTTAGTCACCGCTCCACCGTCACAGTCTGTGTGACCGTACAGGAGGCGGAGTCAGTCTTCCCTTGTCCTTCCTGTGCATGCTTTAACCGCCGTTATCGTCGGCCAATAGCTAGCCACCGCAGCTTCGTTCCAACCTGTCACTGCTCTCGTCCGTGTCCAGCGATCTCGGCCGTGGCGTTGGCAGCGTTGGTGCTACCAGGAAGTTACCCGTATTACCTGGACATGATCCACTCGCTCTACCTCGGCCCCTGTCTCATCGCTTTGGCCAAGTTTGGCATCGCCTTCCCAGTGTCGTTCCACACCCTCAACGGCGTCCGCCACTTGGTGAGTCCTCCGTCATCTGTTCACGGGCAGTAGTTCCAGCTGTCACCTATGACCTTTTAGATCAACACTAGTTATGGTCGTCAATTAAATTAGCCGCTTAATTCAAGGTTAATCAAATATTTATCATGTATATATTTCATAGAAATACATACTGTACATATACACATACATATGCAGTTACTTGTGTACATGTAGTAATCCTGGTATATATGCAGTATGTGAATGTGTATACCTAGAAATGTGTGTGTGTGTATATATATATATATATATACAGAGTGAGAGACTGGAGGAAGATGATCAATACAATCAAGTATCAGTATCAATACTTTTTCCTCTGCAGCAGTTCAATTTCAGTAATTAATTTTGATTAATCCTAAAATACCCTGTGATTAATAATATTAACAAGTCTAATAGTTTAACAAATGATTGATAGACACTTTATTAATGTATTTCACATAGTATATACAGTATACAGTATATACATATATTTATACACGTCAGTCTACAGTCTACAACAACACTTCATACTGCATCTATAATTGTACATAATTGCCTGTGTTTTCTAATGGACCTAATGAGGCAGCCATTAAAAAGCTGAGCTCCCACTCACAGGAACATAATCAAAGGCCACATGTCAGAGTGAGTATATATATGTATATATATATATATATATATATATGTATATATATATATGTATATATATATATATATATGTCTACACACATGTATTTAGAATGTTATTTTCTGAACCTCTAAATAACCAACACTCCATATGAACTAATATCACGCTGTTGTTGACGTTGATTGGTTAATTGAACCGTCAGGTGAATTTCTTGTCCGTTGCCGTCTCTTGGTTCTGGTTCTGTAACTGTTTTGTCCTTGGTTTCCAACAGTACTGGGACATCGGCAAAGGATTCAAAATCCCTCAGGTGTACAAGACGGGCTACACCGTCATCGGCCTGTCCATCCTCACCTCCGCGGCTCTGATGTTCATCTGACCTTCATCTGAACACGGTGGGGGAGGAGGAGACGACGGTGGGGGAGGGAGGGTGAGGAGGGGGGGCTTGTGTATATGTTCTGTTCTGGCCCACTGTGGGCTGTGTTTAATACAAATGTCCAAATTAAAGAAATATATGGTGATGTGTTCAGGAACTGCTCTGAGTCTTTGTGGACTTCATTAGTCTGTGGAACAGGGGGGGGACGGGGGGACGGACGGGGGGGGGTCGTCAATGTAGAGGGGTGCATGTAAATGTGACCCAGTTTGTTTTTGTACTCACCACCGGTGTGAGCAGCATCAGCAGCATCAGCAGCATCAGCATCAGTCAGACTCAGACTCAGACTCGTGGACGTGTCCTACATCTCCCGTCCTCGTCCCATTTGTCTCTCCAGTCTGTGACGTCACGTTCATTCATCCTTTCACTCTGTGCCTTGACTCAGCCTGAGCCTCAGCGGCGCCCCCTATGTTTGTTTTCATTTCTTCCTGGAAGTGTGTGTGTGCGTCCACAGAGCGGTCGTCCTTCATATGTCACCGTCTCCAGGTTTTCTTCGTCTTCTTTTTCTTCTCCTTTTTCTTCTTTTTCTTCTCCTTTTTCTTCTTTTTTCTTTTTCTTTTTTTTTTTTTTTTTCTTTTTCTTCCTCCTCTTTTTCTTCTTCTTCGTCTTCTTTTTCTTTTTCTTTTTCTTTTTCTTCCTCCTCTTTTTCTTCTTCCTCTTCTCCTTCTTCTTCTTCTTCCTCCTCCTCTTCTTCTTCTCCTTCATATTCTTCTTCCTCATCTTCATCTTCTTCTTCTTTTTCTTCTCCTTTTTCTTCTTTTTCTTTTTCTTCCTCCTCTTTTTCTTCTTCCTCCTCTTTTTCTTCTTCCTCCTCTTTTTCTTCTTCTTCCTCCTCTTTTTCTTCTTCCTTTTCTTCTTCTTCTCCTTCATATTCTTCTTCCTCATCTTCATCTTCTTCTTCTTTTTCTTCTTCTTCGTCTTCTTTTTCTTTTTCTTCTTCCTTTTCTTCGTCCTCTTCTTCTTCAGCTCGTGCTGCTGCTCAGATGCATTTTTCAACACAGCGGATGCTGAAACTCAAACTCAGGGAGGCAGCTGCGCGTTGGAAGCCGAGCTCGTGAACAGGCTCCTCACCGGCGGCTCGCCTCAGGCCTTGGACTTCCAGCTGAGACGCACGGGCGCCGCAGCGCTTCACCTGAACTCAGCTTTGGTCCTGCAGTGAGAAAACAGAGCTGAGCCTGGATGAAACGTCAGCTCCAACTTTGTTGTGTGGGCTAGGCTAACAGGTGGAGGAGGAGGTTTCATAGCAGCTGGTTATAGAAATGCTTTTTCAGATCAGGTTAAACTGAGAGGAAAAACAACAGAAGCACCAAATTGACTTCATGGCTCTGTTGCCCGTAGCTTCAGGGGCAGAGCGCCGTGTCGGCCTGGATTTGTTCGGTAGTGGAGGAATTTTATTAGCGTGTAACACCTGTTGGCACGTGTTGCGGCCGACTGTCTGTGGCAGTCAGTGCTGTGTCTGAATCAGTCAGTTGACCTGGATATGTTCCCATGAGTCTCAGCGACTGTGGAGAATGGACAAAAAAAAATGAAAATGAAAATGAATAGTTTGTTTTATTATTTATTTTTTATTCTCTCCTGGTTTATGGCACAGAGAACAAACCTGTCAGTGTGGATTTGTCAGTTTTATTGGTGTAAATCTGAAAGATTTTTTTTTGGTGATGGGTTAATTTCCCAGAAGGTTTTGGTTTTAGTTTTGGAATAAAATAATGTCATATTTTTATGTTGTTGGAAGACGACCTGTTTATGTTTCCTCTTATCATCAAATATCTTTGAAATGAACGTAAGCTCCCATGAAGCAGGGGTTCTCAAACGACGGGTCGGGTACCAGTACTGGACCGAATGGGAAAAAATAAACTAAGAATAATTTTTTTATTATTATTTCTGTTCATCAACATGGTCTTTAATTCTGAAAGTCAAGAGTGGAGCTCCTGGCTCAGTCACAGTTTCTTTGATGCACATTTAAGCCTTCAAGCTAACTTTAGCAGAAATACAGTTAAAAAGAGTCGGATTCTTCTTCTTCTTCTTCTTCCTCTTCTTCTTCTTCTTCTTCTCCTTCATCTTCTTCTTCTTCTTCTTCTTCTTCTTCTTCTACCAGTGGAGGAGGTCTCTGCCAGGAGGACAGACTTCAGAGCTCAGCTCTGGTACTGGATCAGAATCTCTATCAGTCTCTCTGGCTGCCTCAGCAACAACACATCTTTATCTATTTATTTATCTATTTATTTATCTATTGCTGTTGTCCAAATGTTCATTTTTAACCACCAATAGCAGAAAGATAACGTCATGTGACCGTGACATACTGTCACAAGAACACCAGAATATATACATATATATATATATACAACGGGGGAAATAAGTATTGAACGCATGAACTTTTTTGTCATTACATTTATTTCCAAAGATGCAATTCATGTGACATTTCTTCCAGACACTGGTATTAACTTAAATAATCCACACATAAAAAGAAATCACAACATTCAAATCCATAAATAGTGATTATGTGGAATTAAGTGCAATAACACAGGAAAAAAGTATTGAACACACCATGGGAAAGCTGTATAGTTTGGCAAGGAAAGGCACCATACCATCTCAAAGCTGAAAGTAATTAGTCTTTGTACTTCCTATAAGTGCAAACCAACATCAGCTGGGTTAATGCTAATTGATGGCCCTATAAACAGGTTGTTTTTTCACCAAGTAGTCAAACAAGACACATCTCATGATGGGTAAAAGCAAGGAGCTCTCTCAAGACCTTCGCAACCTGATTGTTGCTCAGCATCACAATGGAACTGGTTACAGACTTATCTCAAAGCATCTGAGTATTCCAGTAAGCACCGTTGGGGCCATTATCCGCAAGTGGAAGAAGCATCACCTTATCATCAACAGGCCGCGCACAGGAGCTCCTCGCAAGATTTCTGATCAGGGAGTCAGAAAGATGGTCAGAAGAGTTCTCAAAGAGCCAAGGACCACCCGGAAAGCGCTCCAGAAAGACATGGAGGCAGCAGGTACAAGTGTTACAGAGAAAACGATAGGCAATGCACTCCACCGCCATGGCCTCTATGGACGCTCAGCCCGCAAGACTCCATTCCTCAAAAAAAGGCATGTTGAAGCTCGTTTAAAGTTTGCTAAACAGCATCTGGATAAGCCTGTGGAATACTGGGAGAATGTTGTCTCTCTTCAGGTCTTCAGTTCGTGTCCAGATAACATCAACATTATGATGTGTTTTTACCAGATAATCTCTGTTCAAGTGCGACTCACGTGACACAGAGGGCAGAGCGGCGCACGCAGGATCAGGCAGCAGTGAGAGCGCGGCGGCGGCACCCCCTGCCGGCCGGCTGCGTACTGCACCCAGGCAGTGGTCCTGATGCTGATGCCGGGCATGGAGAGGATGCTGCGCGGGGCTGAGAGGGAGGAGGAGGGGAGAATAAAAGCAGCTCCGATCGGTGGGTTTGTGCCTCAGTCTCTGTGGCGCAATGGAATAGCGCGCTGGACTTCTAATCCAGAGGCTCCGGGTTCGAGTCCCGGCAGAGATGTTGGATGAAAAGGTGTGGCTTTTTGTGGAAGTGATGGAGACACACACACACGTGTTCCGGTTCGTTCCGTGCACAGAACCCAGCAGAACAGTGATGGAGGTGGTGTTAGCAGTGGAGCTTCAGTCACTGGAGCTCTTTGTTCTTTATCTCTCCATGATCTGAAGCTAGAACGAGACGAGAGTGGAGGAAAAATGTTCCTGTTTTTTTTCCCCCTAAATATTCCTGCTCTCTCTCTTCCCTCCTTCATCTTTCCTCCATATACATCATGGAACCTTCTGGGCTGGGACATGTAGGACAGTCCAGTATGTCCACCATGTCTCCTCGGGACATGTACGTCCAAACTGCTGATCTGATCTGATGTTTGTTTTTTTAAAAAATATCATTTCATATAATAATATAATATTCAAATCATTGATTTTTCCTTGACACCAAGTCACATCCTGCCTTTTTTTTTTAGCTCCATCATGTTTTATTTTTTTGTCCAAACACTGTTAGAACTTCTCTACTGTTGACTCAAATGCCACAGTGTTTTAATAATAATCTGTTAATTTAATTCTTGTTGTTTTTTTTTCTCTCTCTCCTTATTGACGAGGATAAATGAAGCCATTGATTCCTGACTGGTTGACTGTGTTATTACATCAGGGAGAGAGACGTCTGTCATCACTGAAAACTCAGTGGAGTTGTTATTATTTATTGACTGATACTGACGACCTTTGTTGCAGATACAAAGTCAGGTTTGATCAACCACTTCATGAACCTGTGAGGAGCTTTAATGAAGTCACAGACCGTCTGTGTCCACTGTCCTGACTGCTGTCTGTGGTCACGTCACGTGCGTTCATTAGAAACTAAAATATCAAAGACTGTGAAAAGTGAATCCAAAAAACAAAAACAAACTGAAATAATTACTAACTAAATTATAAACGTACTATTCCTGCGACATAATAAACGTTGACCTATTCCTGGATCAGACAATCAGACAAACTTGAAATTAAAATGTGTTTTTTTAAATTTTTTTTATCGATGTCATAAATGAAGGAGCAGCTGCAGAAACTGTTGATCTGATCGGAGTGAACGAGACGGATCACACGCCCCGCAGGACAACAACAACAACACCGCCGTCCTGTAAAAGTGAGCGGACGGTTAAAGCACCTGGAGCTGTCCACTCATGTACAACAGCAGCAGCAGCAGTGGCCAAAGCCCTGGTGCCACGTCTTTAACGGCACCAGCTGCTGAGTCCCGTCAGGTCTGAGGACGGAGACAGAGCGAGCGTTGAGTTAAAACATTGATGACAGAGGACGGTGTCATCGCAGCGTCTTTACAGCAGCTGACTCTGAGTGAAGTCGTCTCACTGCGTATATTAATCATCCCATTAAATCAGAGCCGACCTTCAGAAGGAAACAAAAAACAAACTGAAGGATCCATGAAAGGTGACGAGGAAGAACAAGACTTATATGATGCTGATGCTAATGACTCCAACGTTTAGTTTTTAACTATCATGTTTTTTGTTTTTTTTTTCCCCCTTCATAGTCGATTTCCGCACTTCTAATTCCTGCAGATTAACTGGATTAATCTCAGATTTCATCTGATTTTTTTAGCACTCACTTCTCGCTCCTCTGTAGCAGCTGCAGCTGATTGTGTCGTCACGCAGCACCGCCCTCCCTGTTTAACCCCAGCCTGCCCCCCCTCCCCCCGCCTGCACTCATAATCCGCCTGTAAAACTAATCCTTAATCCCTCCCTCCCCCCTCCCTCCCCCCAGGTCTCCCCCGTCTCTGCTCTGCCTCCCTGGTTCTCAAACGGTCCTGGTGCATAAAAACGTCAGGCCAGGACTGGAGTCAGATCTAAGCAGAATTTGATTTGGTCCGACTTCACCCTCATCCTCACCCTCACCCTCACCCCCACCCTCACCCTCACCCCCACCCTCACCCTCACCCTCACCCTCACTAAAATGGACTGTATCTGAACTTTTCTGTTTCAAACTCTTTACGTCAAATAATACTTTTAAAGTTGTGTATTTTTACTGTAGTATTTGCTGTACTTCACCAGACTGTCAGTCAGTCAGTTTTTTGTTTTGAAGTTTTAATAACCACGCCACTTAAAAAAAAAAAACTACGATGTATCGATAACGAATTTGAGGATTTTTTTTATTTTTTATTTTTTTTCAGAAGATGACCTGATCAACAAACGAGACAAAAACAACCCTTAAATTTGATTTTATTTCTTGGAATCTATCAGTTTTGTCTGTCAAATTCTAAACTGGTACAGGTTCCACAGTTGGTCCCCGCCCCGGACTTTTGACCTCCTCGCTGTAGATGATCCTCGGACTCTTTGTTTTCTTTAATATCACCCGTGAGTTGACACTTTTATCTCCAGCTTCAATCTGAGCCTCCTGCTCCTGCTCCTGCTCCTGTTATCCCGCTGCTCCGGGCCAAATCGTATTAAAACTCCCTCCTCCCTCCTCCCTCCCTCGGCTGCCCTCCCTCCCTCCCTCCCTCCCTCCTCCTCCTCCCTCTCCTGTCTCCTCCCCTCTCCCTCTCCCTCTCCTTTCAGACAGACTGTTTTTGCTGCAGTGAGCGGTAGCCGTGGAGAGAGGACTGTAGACACACACACTGTCACAGAAGAAGAGGAAACAACAACAACAGAGGCAGAAGAACAGCCGCGGGGATTCAGGTCGATTCAGGTCGAGCACCGAGGACGGGTTTATAATTCTGAAGAATCTCATCAAAGTGGACGGAAGCGGATCTGGAGAGGAGGAGGTTCCGGACCATCAGAGGACGGAGAGGAGCTGAAACTGAGGAGCAAGACGTCCACAGACTCCGGAGGAGGACCACCACGGTGCGTGTCACTCTCTCTGTGTCAGTGTGTGTGTGTCAGTGTGTGTGTCAGTGTGTGTGTCAGTGTTGTGCAGGGCGGACCGGGAGACACCTGTCAGTGCTGACGCTGTTCGGTCTCCAGGAATTTGTCCGTGCGCGCAATCTGGCTGTAGAAGCGTGGCAATCTCCCTGTGCGCGTGCGTATGTGCGCGTGCGTGTGTAATCCGTTATGCCAAGCCTGGGATAGAGAGCTTCATAATCCCACTGTGTGTTTTTTTCTTCTTCCATCATTTACTCTGAAAGAGCTGCTTGTTGTCGGACCGCCTGCTCCTCCTCACCCTCCCCCCCCCACACACTCCCCCCTCTTTACTCCCCTCTGCTCCTCACCCATCTTTTCTTATCTCCCCCCTTCAAAAACTGACCCCTCCTTTCAGCATCAGCATCTCTTTCACAAGACTCTCCGAATCTCCGAACTCTCACAGATTTTTTAAGAGGCAGTTAGAAAGAGGAGAAGGACAAAGTGAAGGAGGAAGAGGAAGAGGAAGAGGAGGAGGTGGAGGAGAAAGCGCTCGGAGCGCAGGGTGAGAGTGATGCTGCCGCTGATGCTGATGCTGATGCTGCGCTCCGACGCAGCGATGCAGGTGCAGCCACCGAGCACACACCAGCCCCAGCTCTCGTTGTGGTTCTCCACATCACCAA